ACTGTGCTTAAATTTTGACTTAATGGTTGGTAACTACATGACACAACTTGTAATTAGAAATCAAGAAAAGAAGTATTTGACCTATCCGTTCTGGAACGCTGCAGTTGTTGGTAAGTCGACCATATCGACTAGCTCCTGCTTTCATTTCCTTAAACTTGCCTTTACTGAACAAGCCACACCACAAACGTCGCCAATCTTCAGACACGAAAGTACATATCATGTTTAATTATTATCCCATATATCTAATACTTTCCCTAAAAAAGAGCTCTGTAGAATCATTTCAAATGCTATTCTGTATTTTACGGTTCAATTGGGAACAGCAAAAATGCCGCTCTGTCATATCCACAATCAGGTTCAAAATTGACACATAATTTCGGAAAAGTTCAATTTATGCGAAAAATAACAATCCTGTCATTACCACACCATAGGTCATTAACAGCCCCTCTACCCTATTTAATGTTGGCGAAAAGTTCATAGAATCACGATACAACATTGTTTTGGGGGGGAAGGGGGCGAATAGGTTAACTTAAGTGATAGGGGGTTGTAAAGATCAATGTGTTAATAGTTTTGTCGCCGCCTGATTGTAGCTCAAAATCGAATGGCCAGATATTAGATTAAAACATCAAAGAGGAGCGTAAATGACAGCTTAAGGCTCAATTAATATGGTAGTTGGATTTTGCTACCTTGAGGAATTACGCTCGCGTTAACCAGTTATGATTTTCGACGTCTTAAAAGCAAATAAGTGTGTTTCTTCTTTGCTTCCTCCTGTAATTTTATTGCTGATCGTGCATCGGTCAGAACTCGAAAAATTTTTTCTTTCATTAGAGTGGTTGTTACTTTCTTTACAGCTTCGGGTTAATATATGTATTTAATTTTGTTTCCAAAAAGGAATAGGAACTTGAAATTGTTTTCGAGGCGGTTATAGAACGTGTAATATATGGTAGGGAACAGTGATAAGTTTTACTTCTTGTGTTTTTTTTCCTGTAATTCGAAACTGAAAGGTTCACAATGATCAGTTAAGTTCTCTTGCTAACTGCTCCTTCAGTCTAACGGTTTTACGATTCAGCCAGTGATACATGTATTGTTTTCTGTTTCTAGTCTAACAGTGCAAGCGATCACTAGTGAGAACTCACATTAATTTCACACGTTACGTGACAATTCTCAGAAATAAGTTATTATATGTGATTTATTGGTAAATATCAAATTTGCATTTTACTACGTAGAGATGGCCGCTTGCACAATTTTAACATTTCCCTTAATTTCTGTCAGTAGTACGTGAAAAAGATTATGGAAAAGTAATTCGATGTATTTAGTTCAGGTGAAGGAAGTACAGACGACAACAAGGAGGCCGTTATGTTCTTTCACACGTTACGTGACAATTCCCGGAAATAAGTTATTATTTGTCATTTATTTGTAAATATAAAATATGCGTTTTACTGCGTAGAGATGGCCGCTTGAACAATTTTAATTTCCCATTAATTTCTATTAGTAGTGAAAAAAAATAGGGAAAATTAATTCTATGTATTTTCAGATGAAGGAAGTAAAGATGACAACAAGGAGGCCGTTATGTCCTACGCAGCTTGCGTTTTAATAGTCACTGCCACGTTTGTTTCCAAGAAAAGCAGGAACTTTTATATCTTAAAAACACGTCACTGATGCAGAACTCAACCTAGTTCTCAACAACACTAATTCGCTATCAAATATTACACCGAAAGTCTACTCCATCATTTTAGTGTAATATTATGTTCGGTACAGAAGTTGAACCACTTACATCAGTTCGAAACTGAAATTTTCATGAAATGAGTACGATGAAGTGTTCCTTCGTCTTAGAACAACCTTATGATCCAGTCAGTCAAAAATATTTTCCTGTCGCGGCCCATTTAGTAATGCTGCAGGTAATCACTTAGGGAATTTCCTGTGCGGAGATGCGCCTCATAGGCTTCCAACCAAATCAAACCTTTCATGGTCACCTGGTAAAGCGTGTTGTCGTCTGTCCATGCGGCCGGTTTGTAATGACAAATTTTCGTGCAGCCATCTTTGCTCCCCCAGGTATGGTCGTCATCGCTCCCATAACACATCTCCGTTCCGTTTCGCTTACTCAAGCAACGCGATGGGCTACTCACCACCATTTCAGGGCAAGAACTAGGAAAATCAGAAGGGATGTAAATCCTCAATGTGTACTCCTTGTTATTGGTACACGTTACTCTTATTTCGACCTTGGTGTTGCCTGTTGGGTCGATCCAAGTCACGCGGTTTCGGAAGTACTGCTCGAGCAACGATTTCTCATATCCAAGGCGTGTTTGTTGAGATGCTGACCAAGGCATTGCGAAAACACTTCTCTTCACCGTCTCACCTAAGATGGCCGCTTTCACAACTGAATTTAACAATATCGTTCAGAATGGACGCTAACTGATTCTTAGAAATCAACACTTGCGCAAACAAGTCTTGCTAAAAATACATTTCCGAGAAATGTTTGTGACATTCAAATGAAAAGTAAAGACTTTTCGGTTTCTTGACGTGCGGATACAAGGATTCTTACGGTACAGCTGTTGCGTCGAATGAGTTAAAAGCTTCCAGTTTTATTTCCCGTGTTTCATAAACTACGAAATTGGCAAGAAACAAACTAATCGCCTTTCTCTCTAAGTAATGATTTGAATTTGAGATAAGAAAAAAATATGTTAGTGATGATTAGGAAAAAAACAATGGACAGAATTCGAATTGCATAAAAGTTTTTATCACCCTGAACAATGGCATAAAAGCGATCTTTAAACGTCGGCTGTGCCTTTCATGTTTCTTAATCAATAGAACGAGCTACTTTATACAGTGCAGCACTCTATGACTTAAACAAAGCACGAACCTAACAATTTTAGTAATATTAGCCTTACACCCACTGGTCTCGGTAACGTCTTCCATTCCCCCTCTTCTTTTTTTTTTTTTTTTTTTTTTTTTTGCAGCTGCGGTGATAAAATCTTTACACAAAGAGGTCAGCCGTTCCGAATAATTTAGAAAAGTGGTGATATTCATCATCAAAATTTTGTTCGTGAAAAATTTGCACTCTTTTTGAAATGCTTTGTTCTGATGCGCCTTCTTGAATGATGATGGCAAACGAGTTATCTGGCTTATAATGGGTTGTACGTTTTCTTACTCCAGCGAAGATTCGAGATCATCCGCCTTCTTCCTCAAGTAAGATGCTGCCTTACACCCTTTCTTTTTTATCAGATCTCTGATCTTGAAGGCTAAATCAACTGCATCCAATGCAACAAAAACGGCGCTGACTCCAATAATGACAGTTCCAGCGGCCTTTGAAGCCAATTTCGAGCCTGTGCTTCCAATCTTTCCAGCGGTGCTGGCGCCTGTTTTCAGACCAGTTGCCCCCTCTTTTGTGGCTCCTTGTAAAGCTCTAGATGTGATGTCGACTAACGATCCAGTTGCGGTTTCTACAGCTGTTATGACTGCTCTCCCAGCGCCGGCCTTGATAGCTATCTCGGATGCCGTTTTCACTGTTGCTTCCGTAAGGATATTCAAGATAATTTCCGCATTTATTCCTAAGCTTACAAGGACACTCTGAACTAGCTTAACGACAATATGATTCTGACCAAATAAAGCCACAGCTAGCTGAAAGAGAAAAGCCAGGTGTGCTTTATCTTTGTTTTGTTTCCATTCATTAACTTGTTCCTTAACTTTCCTCCTCAATTGATCGGCAATTTGCAAAGCTTTCTCGGCTTTTCGTATTTGTTTAGAGTTGACAACAGCCTCGGCGGTCGCTGTGCTTAAACCTGTGCCAGCAGCAGCTGCTCCAAGCGAAATCCCTGCCATCAGCAAAGGGGTAGCAGCGCCTGCGGTCAAAAACGTTGCGATTCCCCCTCCAATAGTCAGCGCACCTCCCAGAATACCCACACTGTTTCCAATCGCAGATGCGATTCGACAATCGCGCCATACTTTATCCAGATGATCTGCTGCTTCATTTAAACAAATGATCGCCTCTAGTTTGGCGTGGTTCATTTCCCTTACTTCCTCGGTGAAAGCTTTAAGTTCCGCCTCGAGCTGTTGCTCAATAGCCGTGGACTTGCTCCATTCGATCACCTGCCATTCGTCATTCAGATAAGACGTATCCATTCTTGATAGATTTTTTTCTTGGGTTTCGAAATTGGAATAATTTCTTTTGTGGGAGTAACATGTACCCGGGTGTCGATGTCAACGTTTGTTACTACACTTAACTTCACTAAAATGGGATCAAAAAGTGTTGGGTTAACAATTATTTCAGGAGCAATGATTTATTGTTGAGTAATTCCGGAGCAAGACGAAACTGCAAGATAGAAAGGAAGTATTTAATAGAAACGCCGACGCATGCTCGACCCACAAAAGCTATTAATGGAGAATCTAAGAGAGCAATCCAATTGAATTCTCGTTTGGAGTTTACTCAGAATAATAATTTGTTTTTCTTAAGTAAACGGGCGAAGCCTTACTGCTTTAGTAATAAATCACTTTTCGAATTTAGTATACAGATGAGCAATTTTAAACGTATTACGATGGAAACTGAAAGCAGCTGGAAAACATGATTAATAATAAAGTCTTTATTCCATCATAAGATAAAAGTACATATCTTATAATTCGGAAAAACTACAACAGAAATCTACATACATATTATGAATTAAAAAGTACGTCATTACTACAAATGGAGCTTAAATATCAACCTATTTACAAAGGTGTTCATAAAGCGCTGTGTATTAATTTTCGGGCGTGCGCAGCCTTTTTTCCCAAGATTGTGTACATATGTCTCTTGGACAGGAATGATGTCTGTCAGGGGGTGGCAATCCGTTGATTTTAGTTTCTTCAAAATGTTTCGGTATTGTTTGTTTAAAGGGTTCTTGATAAAAACTGGAAATGAGATAAAACGGCGTTTATCCATCTTATGTATTATCCATCTTATGTATTTCCGCCCTTGAATATTTTCAGAAAAACAATTATGGCGGTCCTTGAGCCATGATCTTTGTACTACCTTCGTGGAGGGTTTGCTTAAAACTGTTGGACATGGCTAGACCAAAATATTTTCAAACTTGGGTATCTGCTCATATTCACAAAAGTGATTTTTCTCGATGCCAACCTTTCGGACAGTCAGTGAAATCTAATTATCATTGGCTATAACTCCGCTGCCGGAAACGTAGTTAGATCATTATTTAAAACTAAAGTTCTACGACAGGCATAAGATAGAGAAAGAAGAAAAGAATGGAGAGACCGGAATAATGAAAATTAGAGTTTCTCAATCTGGAAAAGCCAAGAATAAATAAAATATATACCAGGAGAAGAGAGATTTTGAAAATGATTTGCCCTGCTAGTAAAACTCCGATCAATTAAGTCACATAGACAATGATTTGGGAATAGGTTGGATGTCGCTAAGTTTTAGACTCAAACAGCCAGATTTGTATTACTCTCCCGACTGGTGACATATTAACTGGAATATTCGATACTTTTGCCAGCTATATGGTCGACCTCAAGAAGGTACTTGAATGGCACTCAGCGAAACGGCCCAGGGGAGGTCACGATGGCGTTCCAAAAAACTCTTAAAACTGTTTCAATCAAAGAAAACATTTATTAAAGGGAAGTTCTACAGTATTCGGTAGCCTGAAAACCATTTGCGTGCATGCCGTGCACCTTACCTTTTTCTCAGTTTATGTCGTGATATCTGGTCATAACTCATTGTTAATTTTTCAAAAAAGTCACTTGCCTTGCTGACACTATCTATGGTCCGTGTAGTCATCGTAATTGAGAGGCTTAGCTCTAACCCTATACTCCAGAGAGGTGGCTCATTTCTTGAATCTACCCCAGAGGATTTTGGATTTCCACCGTGATTCGTGTATTTAGGAGATTTTTTTCAGTGTGATAGCTTATTTTGACAGGTTGCTAGTATACATCGGATAGTGACAAGTATCACTGGTAGATTTGTCTTCTCCACAAAGCGGTACAATGAAACACCATGAAACCTAACAGGTGGCAAAGGATCTTCCCTCGACGTCTCAAAAATTGGTGACGAAAAGTTTCGGACCTAATTGCATCTCAGCCTCACCGATAAAAATTTCACATTTATTGTCTTACTACTCTCGTCGTCTCACTGGAGAATTTGATCGAAAGAAGTTTTTATGTGAATGCTTGTTAAGGCACTGTGTACCATGGCCGTAAGGTGGGTCTGTTGTTGTGTTAGAAATAAATGGGCGTTAGTAATCGGATAGACAGGTTTGTCAAAATAAAAGGCCAGACTAAACTATATGGGTTACAAAATATGGTCTAGGGGTCTGCTCAACGCAAACTCTCTTGAAAATGATTTGGGTAGAGATTTTCTGTTATCGTTAACCTGTCAAAGTCGTAGACATGACTAGGATAAGAGATGTATCAGTTGAACCATAAAGAAAATAAGGAAAAGGTTTTGTGGTTTTCAGTTTTGACTAAAAACCCAGCTTGGCGAGTAAGCATTATCATAAAAGCTATTGTTGCTTAGGATAACAGATCTAGTTTCGCCCAGTAAAGAAAATTGAGATTTATGATCAAAAGATCAATAATCAGAAAAGCGTATCACCTGAGCATTTATCGTCTGTAATTTCTAAGAAAACTGATGCGTGTGTTTCTCTCATTTGTCCTGCAGATGTATTCTTAGGAATTCAGTCAACTATGTAACGCTGTTTGTGGCTGTATTTATTGGTGATTTGGTACATGGTGAGAACAAGAGAAAATAATAAGAGATTATTCCGCACGTAGCGGTGAGAATTAATATATTCGAGAATACGAAATAAGACGAATCAGTGATGTCTTTGATCATGATCAGCTGGTCTCATGATGAAGTCCAAACTATTTCACTATGCTTACCAGAATATCTGCGCTAAAACTTTTTAAGACTTAAGTTTAAGTCATACTTCTCAAGCTAATAGTAACGTCACGTGTCAAACATTAGCAATAAAGAAAACATCAATTAACGCGGGTGAAAACTGAACCAAAGTGTATCCAGCAACGTCACTAATCCCGGATGTAAAAGGCAACGACAAATTAAACAGGGATCTTAGTCAAGTGCACGACTTTCTAAATGATATCATTCAAAGAATATTAAAAGGAAATAAGTTTGCAATCTGAAGTAAGGAGTGATCCTTTCGGGACATGATTTGACGTTTGGGTCTTGCCGTTTTGAACTCGCTGTATCCCATACAGGGTTTACTACAACTCCGCGCCGATTTATAGAGTAACTTTGTCATCTAAAATGAGTTATAACATAGCTAGCAGAGCCGCGCAGTCAAATTCAGTATACGTAAGCGTGCTCAAAATCCCGATAGTGCACGCTGATAGCGTGAGCAAATCGCTTCGCCAGAAATTTTTTTTTTTCGCGCGAGCGGCCATTGTTAGCGCGGGGAAATTAATGTATTTCGCGACAATAATGGATACGAACAGAGACTTGGCCCATGCACCAGTCCCAAAACGAAGACAATTTCCCAACCTTTTCCCTTGGGCTAGAGTTCTTAAATAAGGCAGAAAAAGAGAAAAACAACAGAAAAGGAGACTCGGCATCAGCGCCGTCACGACTCGCTTCACTGTCCGAGGGTGAAATGCAACACATTTCGCGCCGGATTTGAAGCACAATTCCACCGGTTATGTTATAAAACAATTTATTCATGCGTTTAGCTGTACACTATCGAGTTATTGAGCACGTGGGAAGTTTGGAGAGCACTCAAGAAGCTAGAGTTGCCTGGGGCAACTCTTACGCTTCTTTCGTGCTCTCCAAACTTCCCACGTGCTTCATAACTCGATAGTGCGCGCTAGAGCATGAACCAATTGTTAATTAAACCGCAAGTTTTTTTTATTGTCGACCAAGCAACTTTAGGATAACTTAAAACTTTTCTTTGCAAATCTGTGCAAGCCAATAGGGAATCTTTTAATTTGTAGGTGATTGTGGAGGCTTTGATTTTGAAAATGGGGTTGAAGCATTATCTACCTGGAAAAAAACTGGACAAGCCTTCGATAACCAACCAATATACAGAGATAACCCCGGAATACGGGACCAGGGAATTAAGACAAACGTACAGGGTGAATGGTGGATAGCAACGTTTGCAAACAGAACCAATGCTACTTTGCTGGGTGATTACCCTATCGGTACTCTTACCTCACCAAGTTTTCGCATCAAGGGATCTAATATCAACTTTCTACTCGGTGGTGGATGCGACGCAGGAAAAATCAGGGTGGAACTTTTGGTGAATGGGAAGGTTCAGCGCACAGCTTTTCCTGACAACTGCCGTGATCGCATGCGAAGAAAGTTCTGGAATGTAGCCCAGTTCAATAGCAATATTGGTCAGATACGGCTGGTTGATGCATCAAGAAAGGCACATGTCAATTTTGATGATTTGAAAGGAGATTTTAGCTGCACCGGTGGGTGAACATATCAGTTTGTGAGAGATTGAACTAAATTTAGAATGAAAAGTAATTGATTTATGTTTTTTTCGTTATAAGTTCTTCTCTGTTTGATTTTAAAGTGCAGTTTTGATCTGTGTGACGTGATCCGTCCGGTCACTGTCTTTCATAACACTGTAAATTATTTGAAACTAAATTTTCTTACCTGCGCGCCGGCTGCTTTAAGTTTTTTTAATCGCAGTAACTTCAAGTCATGTCCAGAGTTTGGCTTAGATTTAGTTCGTGCTCAATGTTCGGAGCTACGCGGCCCTCGGATTTGTGATACTTTAAATACGAAAGACACTATTTAAGTATATGCGATGAGTACAATGAGATGAAAGCTAAAGTTCAGTGAGATCTATGACTCATTGACTTCTCCTAGAAATAAAAAAAAAAGTAGTAATAAATGTATTATCATGGTTATACACCATTTAAAAAACAGGCTGGTATTTTCTGTCTTAAAGATGTGGGGAAGACTTTTTCAGACCTCCACGACGATAATTATGGTAGGTATCTTATGCGATTAGCTCGCACTAGAAATATACTCGTATATACTCACCAATAACAACTGTAATTACCACTCTTACATGGGAAAGTCCTGCTAAGAACAGTGCACTCAGAAACATACACGAGTATCGCTTTATTAATCAAACAAATACCATATAATCCTTTTTCAAGATATAGAGAAACTTTTCTAGATGAAAACTCGAGTACATAAACGCTTTCGAAATTACCATTTAACCTTGAAAAGAAATTGGTCGAGCCCTTCAAAAGCGACAGGCCTGGCTGAAATGCTCTCCCTCAATAAAGTAGGGTGCGTGCCATGCTGTGCATGAAAACTTGATCTTCATTTTGGTGTCAAAGATCAGAATGGAGTTTACCCAGACATTGTTTGCCATTAGGGCTTTTTCTGCTTTGCGTTTTTCGTGAACTCAGCATGGTGACCTGAGAGATTTGTGAGCAGATATGATTAATTATTCCTGGACATCAAGATTGTAGCGGCCGAAATAGATGCATGGGACGTTGAAGGATCTTGATATTCATCTGGCTTATTTTGGGACTAATTTAACTGAATGGAGGCTCTTTACCCAAGAAGCAGCGTCTTCTCCAATAACATCATCCAAACTACAGTCTCATCATGAGACAAACATGAACTTCTAAGTTTTCGCCTGTAGTCTTCACTCGGCGGCGTGCAGTTTGAAAAAGTTTCCATCCGTGATCGTTTCTCGTTTATCAATGAGTGTATATAATCTCTCTGAGAGGTTAAAGAACAAAAAGGGGATGGGAACATGCAAACAGGCCTCGGAGTAAAGTCTCTAAAACCTTGGTTTAACACAACTCGATTATAAATTGGCTCGACCAATGGTCATTCACTGTTAGAAAGTTTGCACAAAAAGACACAAGAACACTGGGGTATATCCAATCGACTTAAAACAAGTACATGTTGAGGCCAATGACAGCGATGTGTATTGGTCACTTATCATCTCAGAATGTCTTTCGCGGCTACCTAAGTGAGAAAAGCCTGACAATTTTCGATACTTCTGCTCTCAGACTGAATACATATCTTGATTCAAGAGAAGCAAGCCTTATTAGTCTCTGGCACTTCCTCCATCGGTGCCGCTCGGAAGATGGCTTACCACCTCAAATTGTGCCTAGGCTGAAAATGTCAAAGCATGAATGGAGCTGCGTGTATACATATTCGGTAGCGAGGAAGGATAATTCAAAATGATTATTAGTTGTGATGTTATAGTGTATAGTGAGTAGTTTTTATTTTTTGCAAAAGGTGGTGAAGATGAGTTTGTTCTTGTAGACGAGCCTTTGGACCCTGTAAACCCAGTCAGTAGCGATACTAAATCTCAGGACAATGCAGTCATAGGAACTGGTATGAAACGTGTAACCGATTGTAGATATCTGGTGGAATTAACACAAGACAGCACCATCAGAATGAAAGTAGCTCTTCCTTAATCGCAGAGGGAATCTTAAAGTGGATGACCATAGATTTTCACCAAGAAACATCTATGGTCAACTTGATACTGATATGAAATGCTTCAAGTTTTTGTCGACAAACTGTTTCGATAAGCGAGTCTCATTTGTCACATTCAATTTCTTTTGTCTTCAGTTTTTCTAGCTATAAAAGTTCCGAAACTATAAATGATAACACTTGCTTTGAGCTTAAAATTTTTTTGATGCGTTGTTCACAACATTGTATTAGATTTGGACAGTTAGATTTAAATCTTCCATTGCCATTGTGTCTTGTTACATCTCTTCCAGAGGACGACTACAACACGATGCAGATGAAGCCAACGCAAAAACTTCATGATGGATCCATAAAAATCGGAAAAGGTCAGATTAAGTGGAAGTTACAAAAAAACAAAAGTAAAAACAAAATAAAAATTAAAATGAAAATTGAAAAACTAAAAGCAACAACAAACACACGAAAAAGCAAAGAATTCCGAAAGAACAGGAACACGAACAAAACACAATAAAACTAAAATCAAAACTAAACAAAACAAATCAAAACATCAAAAATGAAAGACTCCTGATATTTACATGTACGATAAGAGCCAGGCAAGAGCCGTACAATGTTCATTTTTGTTTAGCCAATCGTTTCTTTAAAGCCTTCAGTACACGACGATCGTGTCGAGGGAGGAAAAATCGAGCTTTCACTGGCTATAGAGGGGAGAAAATTCTCGTTATGCTCTTTAATAGAACGATCACATGACTTTTGTAGGGTATGTAGTTTATTTGTGGCCCGAGTAGCATCATTTGCGCCCGCACTTTGTCGTTTGGCCCGCGAAAGGAGCGTTTTAGAGAGGGCTGTTTGTCAATTGGCCTCGTGTAGTGGTAACAATCGACATGTACATTAAGATCGTCATCTCTCTTTGCCCCACGCTCGTGAAATGACGAAAAAACATAATTTTGTTCTCCTGCATGATCTCTTATTCCAATTTATTTATACTTCTAGGCAGACCTCTTTATAAAGGCTTGCTGGGAGCAGCAAGAGCTAAAAACATTTTCGAAGCAAAGACACCATCTAAACCGCCGCCGTTGAGACCTGTAGCTGCCTCTAAGCCTTTCATGGCTCCAACTGCCAAGCTGGCCCATAAACAATCCTTCAGGGATTCAGACAACAAGTCCGCTCTGCCCAGAGACGACGAATTAAGGAATCTCACCTGTAAGAATAAATTAATCGAGTTACTGCGTTACTAAAGTGCTCCAAACTGTTAGACACGTGTCTCATTTTTTTTAAAATATACGTTGAGATTGTTATTCTTGTATGCCAAGTAACAGCAAGTTTACTCTGCCTTAGCTTTGCTTTTTGTCACGATAGTGGAAATAGAATGTTTTCTGATCTGAACGAGAAACAAATTGAGAAATTTTAGCCTGGGGACTCTCGAAGTTTTTTAAAACTGTCGATTATTCTATCCGTGCTATGCTTTCTAGGCAAGAACTTCATCGTAGAAATAAAAACTGGACTACCATGGGACAACGATTTCCTTTTTCCGTCAAATGCGAATTACCAAGCCACCAGAAGAGCAACAGAACTCAAGGTATGTGAAGTCTGTGTAGTGGGCCATTCTAATGCTGAGTGTCCCGCTTGTCGCTCGCCCTTTTCATATGGATAGGATTCTCGACAGTTTGTTAATCTTCAGTGATACTCTGCATATTAAGTGACACTTCGGGAGTGAATTATCCTGCTAAGAATTCAAAATAACGCAATGAACCGATCTGGCTCTCAAACCTCTCGATCGATAGCCTAGCACGTTGATCTTGATCATAAGGCTGTAGAGTCTCCTGCACTTTAATACAAGCGGGGCAAAAATGGTCTCAATACCTACCTAGTCCTACAATAGTTTCTTGAAATATAAACCCACATATCGGCTAAACATGCAAGACTCCTTTTCGCATATGCTTGTATTCACTTGATAATAACAATGTTTCTTGTTATTGCCTCGCAGGTTCTCAGAGCATTTGACGAAAATAAGGACTTTAGGGGGGCATTTTTTGATAAATTTAGGTTAGTAATGTATCTTGAGCTCCAGGGCAACTTCAAAACAAAGTCAGTGTGCAAGCTTTGTGTAATGCAGTTTTTCCACATGAAATGAACGAAAATACATTTTGGCCACACAATCAGACAATAATATTACAAGAAATGATTAATTTGTGTAATGTGACGGGCATAAAATTTTTATCAAAAACATTGATATAAAAAGAGCCATCAAATTCACAATTGAATGGTCGCAGAGCGATAAAAGAGAGAAAGAAAAAAAAACTTGCACTCGTCAACCGTGACGTATGCAGGTATAACTTTATGAACCAAAGCTGAAATATTAATTACTGGTGAATGTCTTTTACAGTTCTTCAGAGGAGCCGAGTGGTGTAAAGGCTTATTTTCTCCTACGATTCAGAGCAAATGGGAAATTTATTGGAAAACTGTTGGATAACCTTGGACCAGGAAATGTTTCAGCGGCAGGTGACGCATATTCTAACTCAATTTAACTCTCAGTCTACTGTCAATAGACCACACATGTTTGAAACCGCCGCCCGGTCAGCTCAATTGGTTAGAGCGCCGGATTTTGTTGTGCGGGAGGTCGTGGGTTCGAGCCCCGGCCGGACCAATACTCATGGTCTTAAAATAAGTGAGGGGAATTTGCTACCTTTCTATAATCAAGACTTAAATCCAGCGTATAGTCTTCTCGGATAAGGACGAATAAACCGTAGGCCCCGTCTCCTGCAGGGTTAGGGGTAGGAGACGTTAATTTCCCACGCACGAGATTACTGTGTGGTGGATGTCCTCCCCTGGGTGGGATGGGTGGGTGTTGGCCCTGAAAAACTCCTAAGGGGAGTGGTCAATTAACCTATGTATATATGTATAAATATTTCATGGTTCTCTCCAGGGAGTGAGTATATTGAATTTAAAGTTTGAAAAGATTTTTGATGATCGTGCTATTTTGAACATAACTCCTGATCCTTAAAAAAAAAAAAAAGGAAATGAAGAGGTACTTGCTACGAGCCTAGAATTTGAACTGATCCTCAAGGAAGTACAAGATTCAAAGGGAACAGAGAGTGTGCGCCTGACAAAATATATAGAATGCTATTTACATCCGGGTTTGTTTAAAAAGCACATCGGAATTTTTGCCATTTTAGATCTAAAATAAATTAAAATTATCTTTAAATTTAGGCTGTTATCCAGATACTCCAATTACCCAATGTTCCAGTTCCTGTCCATCGACCTGTGCACCCGCATGCCTTTATTCTTGTTGTCAACCGTCCGTTTCTGCCCCAGCCGCTCCTCAACCAGTTTATCAGCCCGCTCCTGTACACCTGCCACCTCCACTTCCCCCGCCTCCTCCGCCTCCTCCGCCTCCACAGCCAGTTGCAGTAATGGCGCCCAGCCCGCAAGTTTATCAACCGCCGCAGCGACAATGGAATGTGCAAATAACTGGCCAAGCCACCATTCCCCCACCACGAGCGTTATCCCCTCAGTATCCGATGTCACAGCCTTTGAGTTGGCCCGGATCCCAATGTTCTTCGAGGTGCTCTCCTACTTGTGCACCAATATGCTCACCAATCTGTTGCCAGTTTTATAACTCTGAGCGAAATGAGGAAATTAAAAAAACCTTGAAGAAGGAGGCTGTTCAGGAAGAGAAACATTAGCAAGTCCATGTGTAGCACGTTGAAACGTGACGTAGGTAGACAATCACGGTCACTCCTCTACTAGGAGTCAAATTTTGAAAGCTAGCACCTTCACTTCTGTAGAGGACAATAGGTCACGAGTCCCTTTTGCATGTAAATCCAAGTTTGCATTCTCTTTTTTAACCAGACTAAACTATTTGTTCAAAGAAGTTCTAGAGTACTTTAGTAGTACGAAAGAAAGAGTCGAAAAAAGTAAAAAAATTGACTGAAAATAGAAACGTTCTAAATAATTTTACCCAGAACAATTAATTTGTCGTCAGCTGGCTGTACATACACGAAGCTAAGCCTTCTGTGAATATTCCTCTGTTCACCACCTCAAATTTACATATATCTAATATTTTTTTCCATTGGCAGACCAATAGCTTATCAACAATAAATTAAACTTAGCATAGACACAAAAAATTAATAAGTGGCGAGTGATTTGAGGGACTGCTCAAGCAGACTACTGTCTCATTATGGGTTTCTCTTAAAAATCATATAAAATACAATTACTGAGATGAGTATGGTGGTAAGCTCGCCGCGACACGGAATGAGAATGCGTCATATCTAAGTTAAAATGCCCTTCGAGTAATTCTCTGCGTAGTCACTTCGCCTCAGGCGGTGAATACTTGTTGAATAGTGTTGTCTATAAACAGAATTTTGATCGAAATAAATCTACCAGTCTAAAAGTTCACTCTTATTATTCAACAGAGTCAACATTAGCCGTCGATGATCCTTTAAGGGCTGTATAGATTTTATCCAGAATGGCATGTAGTAATTTTTGTGATTTTGTTATTGTGTATAGATTTAGTGATGAAATAAAATCCGATTGGACCGTTAGAATCGTTCAATTATTGCATTAGATTCGGTGGGTTTCATTTCGGATTTCGGTGGGTTGCACAGCTTTGAGTCGCAGCACAGCTGTAGGTTACTTGCAATTTACATATTTTGGCGGGTAACAATGTCAATAAAATATCTTTGAAATTTCAATCAACAGCCTTAAAGGAGACCTCCCTCAAACAAAGTAACCCTCTTCTTGGGAAATTTCTCCGCCAGAAGTGAAAATTTGCGTAAAATTCAGTTCCGTTCATGAGGCTTGATAAACGACCGGGCACTGAACTTCTCCATCAGCTAGGCCTCTTCATTTTAAACACGGGCGCTTGCTCTAAGATGTCAGTATTACAATTCCATTTGCTTGGATTTCAAAGCAACTGGTAGCCACATTATGAACACAATAGTTTACCAAATGAAAACTGATTGACATTCTGGAGAAATTGTCTTTTCTTTGTTTCTTTATGTGACATCTTCATTCATATCAATCGATTGGTGCCGTTAGATTGGGTTAACGATGATCGTATTTATCTTCCTCTCTCTCCGGGTTCAGATGCAAGATTCGAATCAAATATTGGTACCGAAAAAAAATTGTGATTCCGTCCAATTTCATGGTACGACAAACCGGGTGTCTGGTGATGCGCCTATCAATGTAAACTCAGTGGGCAGGGTCAGTGGGTGGGCCATACTTAGCATTTTAAATTATATGTTCAGTCAACGGTGAAAATCAAGACAATGGGTACAAACGAACACCTAAGTAAGGGTTTTATGTTTTACTGACAAAGACTTTGTTCAAATATATCGACAGTTTGATACACTGGCTCTACAAAACGCATCAGGAGCCTGATCAGTGTAGCTCAATTTTTCCCAACTGGTATATTTAGTAAGAGTAAAGTTCACTATGGTCTGATTTTTGAACATTTATTTCGTATATTTCATGTTATTGACTCCGTAACGGTAAAACTTAAATTGACGACCCCCTAGCTTATGACGGGTTTCCGTTATCCTTTGGTTGTTTGATACATAAATAGCTACAGTTTTTGAGAAACATTTCCGTCATGTCGGCATTGGACTGAAAACTATAAAAACTTTATCATGTCCATCGAATACATACATCTTACAAATCGTACTGAGGCCATTCTTCCACAGATCTTTCAAGACATGAAGGCTGGTCATAAGAAGCCGTCCAACACTGGAATCGTCTCTTTGACCTTTTTGGTATCTGTATTCGTATCGCAAGCGCAAGGTAAAGGCGATGTCTCTTTCTCTCTTATTTTACATGTATATCCAAAAGATCATGTTCACCACGTAATTGAAAATAATTAGCTTTGATGTTAAAACAGCTGGTAACCGTTGGCTAATGAACATATGTCTTTGAACTAAACATTTCTCGCTGGATGCTTGATTAACAAAATTTATAATCCTCTTTTGGCAGCTCAAACATGCTACGACATAATTTTCGAAAGGGTGGGGTGTTACAAACAGACAAATGGAGAGCGCCGTCCTATGTCCGATGCGCTCTTCACAGACCGTGACAAGTCTTCTAAGTTTTGGAGTGGTATTAGATACGCATTCCAAGAATTTAACATCTACCTTCCAGACTTGGCTTGTAGATGTGCAAAGGCAACAAAGATAAAGGGATATGTTGCGTTTGGATTGCATAATTATGGTAAGCACCTCAGATTTGGTGGAACATGGTACAATTTATCAAAAATTGTGGTTTAGATCATTTCTTCTGTGTTTACTCAATAAATTTAACCAATTTTCTTAATTGCTTTCTCGTTTTTCTGAATAAGCTTAAGTTCCATCACATTGGCGGGCTGTGCGACAGTGGTCAGTCTTATATGATTTAACTCTGCTATCGTTCCATGCTCTATTGTAATTAATTCAAATTAAATGTTGGTGTTGTCACGTCTTTTAACGTGTTGACACACCTTAGGAGAATGCTATTCGACCGATGATCATGCACCAGCCTTTAGCGAGTCGTTCTTAAGTAGTCAATGTGCCACGACAAACTTCGACATCTGTCAGGACGATTCAGGAATTTGTGTGGGAGAGGAAAAAACAATTTTTGTTTACAAAATAACAGGTGAGCTTCACTAATAAGAAAGAAATCATTTTTGTTCGTTTGGTTTTTTTTTGGAGGGGGGTGGGGAAGGTTGGGCTCCGCTCTGAGAAGAACTCCTAGTATGAAACTAATGATGCCCCTCTCCGGAAATCTTTGACAGATCCTTATGGGGAGACCGATGTTAGCTTTATTCGGCTCTACTTAGACCTCTTAATTCAGCCTCATAAGTAAGAGCCCCACTCATTTGAATGAGACAATCTTCCCAGACACTTGCAAATGTTGTGCTATTGGCAGTTGGTCGTAAAAACCTGCGGTAGACGCGGAAATCGAGCCCTCTAGAAATCTACTTTGGTGGAGATGAAATTAATAGAACTTTCCTCGGGACTACACCAACGGAATTAAACAGTAACGAACGAGTTTGGCTTTCTTGGGTCTTCTACTTAAATGACCCCTAATTATGTTTCTTAGTTATCCTCAATCACTATTATCATTATCAGTTACCTCACGTCTTTTAAGCATCAGGTAAAAGTCGCAAGGCTAAGAAGAAAAAATCATGGCGAAAAGCTCTCAGTGAAAAAATCATGCAGAAGAAAGTTCTGAAAATTGCCAAGTCTTCCAAGTCAAGCATAAAGGAACTTGAATGTACGTAGCATTTAAAAGTAAAATGTATGCAGAAAAAAGGTAAATAAATGACGTCTGTTCTCAACCTTAAACTGCACCCGTAATTCAGCCTTAGGCTGCAAGCGGTCAGAAATACTATATTATTTATTTATTTATTTATTTGATAGTGATGAGATGCCGAAATAGACTGGCTGGATGAATACTTAACAACAAGCGCAGTTTGAAGCCTATTAGCGATGTTGTGATGTATTTTATGGTCTTGACTGCGCCTTATCTGTATCGTATTTTGCGATTTTTTCTTTTCTTCATAAAGCAATGCTTTTTTGATACGGTTGTATGACTGTATGTTAGAAGTACAGATTTTCAACAGAATTTTATACATATTTTCACGTCTTATTTTGGTTTTCACCGATGCAAAGTGGAAATGTAAAGAAGGTTTGAAATCTTTATCACTCATAATGCTTACTCATTATGGTTCGCATCATCATGTCAACTGCTGATATTTATAAATGTACCTCACAGGTTCTTCTTACAGGCTAACGATTCTTTTGAATGATATAAGTTACACTACTGAATTAGAAAGCTATCAGTCTTCCGAATTTATGGACTACAGGCAAAATATTGAATTAGGGGTACGTATCTATTTTGAATATCAATCGAGGTACTGTGATTTTTCCTTTTTTCTTTACGATAATTTTGGAAATGCGTGCCATCTCTTATTTTTTTTATGCTATTTTCTTTATTGCCTCAGACTGAAATGTGTGTAACGCTTGTTAGTTAGCCGATCAAATATTCTGGCAGTTTTAGACAACGAAAAGATAGACAGTTTTCCTGCTGGCTGATATACAATCAGGCACATTGGGCTGTCAGAGTCAGTTGATTACCAAGGAAGGACAGTCAATCAATCCATTGGTCGTCTGGTCAGTCAGTGAGTCTGTAAGTCAGACAGTCAGCCAAGTCAGTCATTCAATAAGTTCGTCTTTTGATCAGTCGACCATTCAGTTAATAGGTTGGTCAGTCAATCGATCAGTCAGTCAGTCAGTCAGACAGTCAGTCAGTCAGTCAGACAGTCAGTCGACCAGTCGGTTATTTGGTTGGTCTGTCAGTCATAGCGTTTCGGTGTCTGTCGGGTGTTATTTATTTTAATTCACGTGGTATAAAGACATTTTACTGACTTCAAATGCTGAATGGGACTAATTTTTTAGATTCTACAAGCGTATGACGGCGACGAACAATTTCAGGAGGTACAAGTTCTCAGGTTTAGGTAAGTGAGGGAATGAAATTCTGTGAGGATATTGGCAATTTCAAATCACTTTTCAAGATGGCTCCGACTCAACTATATCAAAGAACTTGGTATCAGTTGTGCATTTCTACGCAGAGAAAAATATGTTATGTTTTCTGTGTTTCTAGCTCAATTGGCATTTCAATATCCCTTCTGGACCAGCATTTTCTGGCAAATCAGCTGCAAACTTGGTGGGGGCTGTGTCAAGTAATTATATTTATATTTAACTGCAGACAGTACTATTTCGGCCCTCTGGGCCTCATCAGTGCAGTGCTGACTCTAGGATGGGGGTGAAGCTATAAAGCCACCCCAAAAGATACCAAAATTTTGGTACCATTTAAGCCATGCCAGGGTGCTCAAACTAGAAACTAGTGAGCTTCGCACAATTGCAAGACATACATTTACAAACTTCTGAGAGTCCTTATACCTTGGTTAGACGATGGGTCCGGTAACGCATTTTAATCTGGAATGTTAAAGTTTTCAGCCTTCTCTAATAAGCCATGGAGCTCTTCGCAATTGTTTTGGACATATGGAGTCTCATTGTTTGCTAGATTGTTTGTTGTTTGTTTTTTTCTTTGCTTTCGTTTAGTCCTGGCTTTGAAATGAAAGTAGTGTCAACGATACTTCTCAAGTTCAGAACCAAAAGCAAGCATTTGATAGCACTCGTCAAAAAAATGGGCACACAGAAGTTTGGCAAATTAAAAGTATTTCCAGCAGTAGGAGACTGTGGTAAGACAACCCCGTATTGAGTCGCATCTCATTTCTTAGCACCTCTTATGGATACCTACCCATAGTATCCATATAACTATTATGATTGATTATACATTGATGATTGATGTTACCTTTGGGTTACTTGCAATAATGTCAGGGAAAGTCCGCTCCGAAATACCTTGATAGCTTTCCTTTCCTGGAATCATCATCTGCGGAAGGTGGGCTAAAGACATCCCAGACTATTTTTTTAAAGGCATTTATTTTGATGCAAAATTGCAAACGGAAGCAATCAATTGAATAATCATGATCATTGCAACTGAAAAATGTTTTGATACAATGGCTAATTTCGCAGGTTGCTACGAGCCGGTCTTTAGGCCAACTCCTCTTCATCCAACTTCTTATGGTCACCCATACAATCCTGATAACGCTCACAAACAGGGGTTATCCTGGCTTTGTGCCCCCGAGTGCAAGGTGACGTGTAGTTCAACCTGTACTCCAAATTGCTGCACGACAGTAAGTCCGAGCTCAGTAGCTTCAGTCGGATATTCTGTTCAATGTGCTGCGCCATGTGGAGCAATCTGTGCACCATCATGTACTCCTGCTTGTTGTTATACGATTTACTATGTGCAGACACAACAGCACATGTACCGGAAACGACATCAAGTGCAGAAATAGCAAGCCCAGAAGAAAACCTGAGGCTACCCATAATTATCATTATCCAAAGCATCACAAGAAACAGATAAGGAGATGAGGAAAAATCAGGCTAATTAATGGAGAAAAGAAAGGAAGTTTTCGGAAAACTCTGAGATAGAAATAACCGTTATTCTCAGCTAAGCCTTAACTAAGTCCTCATTAAGAATAAAACCCGTTCCTTCGCGGGATCCCTCAAAATTATAACTACTCGGAATGAAAGCTTCAAAGACCTAAGGCGAGAGGGTGTAAACTCTAAGTCTTGTGATGTGATCTTCTATGTGGCCATAGGATAGTCGCTGGCCGTGACATGTAAGAGGTCCTCACCAGCGTCAAGTGAAGAGTCCTCGGGCAGGTCTCATTAATTTTATTCGAAACAGGTTGATTGTTTTTCTTGTCTTTTTTTTGGTGACATCTATTAAGGTAACAGATTATAAACCGAAATAACAAGGGTCGTTGATATTCATTGTTTAGTTTAGAACATTTTAGCAAGAAATATATTGCATTAGGAAATTAAGCTATCACTTGGTTCAGCGGCACGTCCCCAGATAAGCTACATAATATCTCTCCTGTTCTCAGCACCCACAGCTCCTGGGAGCTGGTGCATTTCGAAGATATTGATAAGTTTTTTACCAGCCTCAGACAAGGAGCAATATTTGCTTGATTGTATACCAGCTATAAACTTTGGACCAAACAGAGCGTGTAAAGCAATTAATTCATCATATACGTAGCCAGCTAACCTGTCAAAACTTTTACCCCTCATTTCACATTCAAAGTTATAATTAGATCAAATTATCGTAATTGAAAATAAAGTTACATTTTCGCGCACAGCCAATAAGCTTTGTATGGAACGTATTGAAAAGGAAAAATAGCCGCTAACTAGCCTATCGTGTTTATATTTTATTTCAAAAAGACAACTGCTTCGTTCTTTCGCTTACAAGTCCAAAATAAGTTTTTTCATTCTAACATAGGGTATGGCGCTATTCTAGAGCTTGCAACTGCGCAATCAGTCATTCAAACAAAGTTTTTAAAACCATCTCCAATTTAAAAGCCCATATAAAATATCGACTAATATTACACCTTTAGTTTCTCGTTGCATGCTTTTACCCATTGCCAAAATGTTCGTTGTCTCCACACAAAAGATTTCAGGAATTCCGGCACCCGTCCGTTTACCTTAAGGGTTGGTTTGACAAGTGAAAACATGCGTGGTGCGCGTTCTGTAAGCACCAGGGTCACGCAGAGCCTCACGGCTAGCCATCCAGCAACCAAAGAAAACAATAGTCTTTGTCATGTTTCCCATGTCAAATGCAAATTCGAAACCATGAGTCCGAAAATCAAAGCTTACACAGGGAAACATCCAGAGAATATATTCGCGATCGGACGTGATGTACAATTTATACTATAATTTCACTGCCGCCAGTTGCGATATTCTTTCGTGACTTGCATACGTGACAGAAGATAGTGTTTTGAGGTAAGTGAAAGGTCTGTCATAAAATGGAACACATTGTTAGGTAATTTAACTGATTAGTAAGACAGAGTAAGGGTTCTCAGAAGCAACGAAATTTTCTTTTTGACAACACTCTTTCCTGATTGAACAATCTTGCACTCGAACATTTTGGTACGTAATCAAAACCTTTGGGCGGTGGGAATGCCTATCCCAGGCTGGTTAATTTCATTTTGTTTAAGGAAATATTACCTGCATGACGCTCGAGGTCCCATAGCTTTGAATTTTGTTTATGACTAAGAAACTGATCATCTAACAGCTGAGATTCTTCGACATCAAGAAAACATCTAGTCTTTAAAAAAAATGCGATCATGATTACAAAAAAGAAAAAAAAACACTCCTTGCTAAAATCGCAGTTGCCTTTTAATCGGATGATTGCCAGTATACTTTCCTCAAAAAACCCAGATTTTGGGTAACATCGATACCATGTTTTTTAATTTTGCTTACTTTTTGCTGTTTCTTTTAGGAGGGGTACTTGCCTACTGGTAGTCTTATGAAGGAATGAACAGCGTCTATTGGGCATGTAAATGGGCAATTTTAGAGTTTGTCTGCGTCATTACCACGATTTATGCAGAGGGTAATTTCCTTCTTTTTTTAACAAGAATTGCTGCTTTATGGCTTTTTTTCACAATACATTCCCCTGTCTGTCTATGCATACGTAAATGTATGTCTACACTTGTATGTCGCACACAGGATTATGGGATCTTTAATATTACGCGAAGGGAAACTGGTTTAATTCCAACAGATTAGTTTCCGCCAAGAAAAATATTAACATGAATAAAATCATTTGATAGTCATGAAAAATGTAAGCATGTAAATGCAAAATGTCACATCAAATTGATACATTATTTTATCGTATGTGTCAGCAGGTACTGATTACAATAAGTTGGGGTGTTACAAGGACAACTGGCAAGAAGCAAGACCTCTTGCGGAACTTTTATTCACGGACCGCGACGAGACCTCTCCTCGTTACAGCGGGAAAAAGTATATTGAAAAGAATTTCAACCGACGATATCTTGATGATTTAATACAACGCTGCGCATCACAAAGCAAGAAATTGGGTTACGAAGTGTTTGGCATAGAGAATTTTGGTACTGATACACTCATTCAGTTGCCTCTTGTTCTAAGTGATATTGTGATATTTCCTATCAATTTTCAATTTGTTTTTCCTTCATTCTATAACACAGTTAAAACGACCTCAGATGAGGTTTTCAAAAACAGGAAAACTTTTTTTAACCTTTAATAATTGTTAATTCCTAAAGACTCAATAACAAAAATATAGAAATAAATGGTAAGATTAAGTTCTATGTAAGAATCTTATAGTGGGAGGCTGAATGACATAAACTGCCAAATGATATAGGCACAACTAAAATTATTAGCCAACCTCGTCAGATATTGGTAAATACTCATGGCTTCACTTTGTAAGTTGTAGCAAAGGTGCCACCTAACCTAAGAAAATTGTAATTAAAGTATAATGCTTATAAACAATTTCCCGAAAGTTACAAATTCGATAATTTTCATTTTCCCCTTCCAATTTTGACTAGCTGAATGTTATTCCGGAGACGATGGACTGGAAACCTATAACATAGACGGGCCGACCAGACAATGTTTCACCACAAAATACGAGCCATGCGATCCTACATGTGGAAATCAACCGTGAACTGGAACTGAGAATACACTCTTTGTCTATAAGTTAGGAAAGTGTTAGTATAGACATATCTATGTGCCTCTTTGAAATTTTGATGGAAAATTAAGAAAGAACAACCATGAAAGAAAAAGAAAATTAAAGAAACAAAACAAAACACTGAAACAACATTCAATTGGTAAAGTTCATTAATGCACCTGTAAGTCGGTGCTGACTTAGCAAACTTTTGTAAAATAACGTATGTCGCTCTTTTAGCAGAAGTTTTCTGTTTTAGCCGTTACTTTTTCGTCTAATCCTGTTGCTCTTTTATCGAAAGTAACCATTCCATTAATTCATATATAGCGAGCATATCTTCATCATGTTCAACTCCAAAGAATACTACTAAACCAACACGTCCGACAAGGAATACCTCACAATCAAGGACACCCTCACAGAAAACGACAAGCCAGACTACAAACCGTAAGTGTTCAGGGTTACCGTGAATTCGACTTGCTCCGAATCAAAACTTCATTTAAGGTAATTAGACTGCAAATAACCGGAGTGAAAACTTAACTATGATCTCATTGCAATACCAAACTTTTTCTTTACGATGAAATAGGACGATCCAAACCCGGCCTTCCTTCGAGACCAACCAAAGTCCCATCCATTCGAAGAACTTTGACCACTGGAAAAAAAGCCACCATTAAAGAGATAGGAAAAACAAATGCTACACCGAAGAGGGTCTTAAACACCGATTCAACCCAAAGACCAAAAAGTGAGTAACTAGGAGAACATTGAATGACATGCTTTCATTGAAGCCATCGGTTCATCATATAGCACCTCATGTTTGTTGAACGTCAACTGAAAGAGCTTGATACATTTTCGACTTGCTTTGCTTTCTACCTTGAATTTTTCAGTTAATTAGACATCTGACTCGTGTCTCATCCATCATCCTTTTATTACTTATCAGTCGCAAAAGTCACGGCCCCCAACACTGGAACAAGCACCTACCAGCCGAGTTCCTCTCCAACGAAACAGACAAATCCTCCGACAAAAAAATCAACATTGCGCCGCCTGCCANGGGGGGGAGCGTATAAAAGGGATATAATGAGCTGAAGGAGTCCTTTTCTCACAATTTCCAGTAATTTTACTTATTATTTTAGAATCGTTATCTTGAACGTAATATTACAATTCTAAGATCAACGGAAGGTAACGAGACCGAAGATCAGGACTAACTTGACCGTAAAACTCCCCGTAACTCCAAGACGTGAGCCACTTTGATTCTTTCCAATGGCAAATTTGGGGTAGACAAGAAAAACACTAAAAAGTGATTTCTATCAAAGTTAAATGCCCTTTTGGAGATCAGATGGGTTACATTGGAACTGAAAGTTAGTGAATCCGTAAACTGTTGTTTAAAAATTTTCTTTACTCAGTTACAACCAAGTCACAAAAGACACTTGCTTCTACACAAATCGCTACACAAAGGATAAATCCAACGAAAGTTCCCTCAACCAAACCTCCAGTACCATGTGAGTTACTAAATCATGTAAATTATAAAATAGACGATGGAGAGAAATCATTTCAAGAAATGTAACGAGCAATAATATGGCACAAGAAAAATGAAGAACAAAGTGACACTACCGGACTACAAGGACTCTGACTGAAAAAAAAACCTATCATCAAGCATTCACAGTATTGCATATTCAAACTGTTTTTCTAAACTATGTACAATGCAAAATAATATCGTCAAATACATTTTAACCTTCGTAACCATCTTTTTTTAAATAGTTTCCTTTTATTAAGTAATTACCAGTAGCATCTCTTGACTTAAAAGACAACCTTAGAAAAACATTATCACTCAAAAAATTTTGAATTATCTTTAAGGTTGCCGCAAACAGCAGCCGTTATCCTTGGTCTGCACGCCCCAGTGTCAGATGTCATGTACAGCGGTTTGTCCTCCCGCCTGCTGCGTTATGCAGCCTGTGCATTATCCTGTTGTTCACCCTTTGTCAGTCTACGCCCAACAGTCTACACACGCCTTTCAATGCCCGAATCCCTGCCCATCTGCATGTGCTCCAAGATGCTCCTTCAGATGTTGTAACGCCAGAATTTATCAGTTTCCTTTGTACTTGAAAAGGAAAGTTATCAGTGGGAGGAAAACCTCAACGACAATCCGCAGAGAGGACAGAAAACGCCATGATCTACACAAGCTAAAGAAAAAGCTACTGAGTTGACTCAAACATCAGCTTGGATGATGTGTGGCCGGAGTATTTTATTGGGGATTTTCATTTATGTGACGATAAGCCAAAGGATTTTTCAAAAATAATGGTATCCGACCTAAACTGTTGACTTCTTACTTCATAAACATGAAAATACCACTATTTACAACGAATATTTCCACAAAAAAATAACTCTTTCTTTAGACAGAAATTGCGATTGCTGTTTTGTTTTATAAAAAGAGGATGAGCATTCGACATCCATTCCCACCTTAGAGGAATAAACTTTTTTTGGATGTGAATGAGGTTATCAGTTAAAGCTAAGTTTCGTGGAACGCTTTAGACTATGGCACGACAGTAAGGAGTATACTTGACTAATGCACGAGCCATTGCACAGTTTTCTGGGTATGTAGCAGGAAGAGGAAGGAACGAGGTCAGTAGGAGTATTGGTACTGCTGACAGCAGCTGGTGTAGCAGGAAGGAGCGCACAGTGATGGACATGGAAGCGGGCAGATTAATGGAGCTGGTGCCTCGTAGCATGCTGAAAAAAGAAAAGAAGAGATGAAAAATTTCTTATTCATATGACTCTTCTTTCAAAGACAAAGAATTTAGTTAAGGTGTTGATGATTGTAAAAGAAAATGAGATGGAAACATCTCCGGTTACACTTTTGTCATGTGGTAGGCAAATATAGGATAGCATAATTCGAGTCTATTAAAGGAACTCTATAATTTTCCTTTAGTTACTTATCAGGGAAGTAATAAGAACTCACCAATTTGATTCAGTCTCGTGGCAACAGAAAGTGAAGCAAACTTCCCAAGCGTTCCGAAAGTTAAGGCTTTTGTAAGTAATGGAAGATGAGCGCCATTGGTGTTGAACTCAATAACAAAATGGACGATCGTCATGCCGTCTGTTGCTGGGCTGTTTGAATAAAAGGCAGCAAAGGCTAAGGCAGTTAAATATATTTTCTTGTTCCAGAAATGTAAATTAATTAGTGATTAGCAAACATGGTTTTAGGTGGAATCAAGTAAAGAGAAGAAATTTAGTTGTCAAGCATACGAAAGACGTTTGTGTTAGAGAATTCTAGAGCCAAAGTGACGTAAAGTTAAGCAAGGGAAATGGTCATGATCGAATTCTTACGTTAATCATGAAGTTCAAATCTCCTAAAGGATAAACTTCAGAAGCTTTAGAGTTCTTTTCTCCGTCTATTAATGGTGTATGCTGAGATTATTCTTGTTATAGCGATTTAACCAAAGAAGAAGCTCTTCCCCAACAAGGCCACTCTCCCTGGAGGGTAAAGTCAAATTGATGTCCACCTCCAAAATTACGCCTTGACAGCTCACTGGTAACATATCATTTGGGTTTTTAAGATTACCCTTCCTACATCTTGAAAGCTATCGCCTTCATCGGCCTCTAATTTTCTCTCTATTTTCATTTAGTTTACCTACTGGGTTAAATTGAAACGGTTTTAGCACAGCCATGTGTTGAGCTGAAGTCTGTTATATCTCAGATAAGGCCAAATTGCTAAACGATCTTGCGGTTGTAGCACAAAGAGCGACGTTAGATAAAATTCGGTGGTCAATAAACTAGCTTGATTTCTATACCTGAACAGAAGAGTTGTGACACCAGCAAAGAGGTCATATTCATCATAAACTTGCAAAATCTGACGAAAGAGTACTTTCAGTTATGTTCACTTAAATAAGAAGTTGAAAAATGTAAATATGGTGGGACGTTAATCAAAGGGAAAAGAAGAGTGTTTGAACCTCTATGCGAACCAACTTACTCCCACTTCAAAATCCGTCCTAAGTGCAATAAACTCGGCTGCATGTGGATAACTTAAACCATCATCATAGGGCGTGTTTGTCAACTCCAGCGTTAAATTATAAACATAGCCTGCAAATAATCACAAATCAAATGTTACAATTTTTCTTATCCCTACAAAAAGGGAGGTTTGTTATACGCGACTAGAACTTTTAGTTCAGTACACTTTTACAAGGGCACCTGTCAAAAAATTTAAATTGAAGTTTAGCTGGGAAGGCTGCACAAACTTTATTGCAAAAATGATTTAAAAATTGGGTTAGCTTTTCTACTTTTTAAAATCAGAAACATGTTTAGCGTGAAAGATTCCGTACTGCAAGGTCTACGTTGGCGTGCTGTAATTTATAAATTCACCTGTGTCCTTGGTGAGACCACTCACCAAGTTTTTACGCGCATTCATTGGCACCTTGTGTCGGCTTCGCATGTTTACAACGCTTGCCATGACTCACTCTCTACAGAATCGTTTACTATTTTGAATTCTGCCGGCTCAAGTTTTTCAATAAAGATAAACGAGGACATTTATATTAAATGGAAGAAACTGACTCTTAACCCAACAGTCAAAACACTTAGATTTATCTCTTTTTTGTATCTTATTTTTATCAGTCTTATTCTATTACGTTTTTATTTTTATTATCTTAACTGGTATTGTTTTGGTTTATCCTATGTTAACTCAAAATACCACCGTTGCGTCTCTGTGCTACCATTGTATTTTATTCAAGAAGTTATAATCGTATGCCACTACTCAATAACTTATGTGTAATTGTGATGTAAATCAAAACGGTCCAACGACCATTTGCTACTGAATCTGGCATAATTGATGAAGAAATATGTCGTGCAAACTTAAAAATTTTGTATCTTTTCAACGAATTAAGGAGAGACTAATCAAGCAAATTGAAATAGAGAAGTTTCATCTTAAAATGCTAGGACAGTCTCTATCCAAGTACAAATGCTCCTTACACTGCAAAGCTTCCGGCCTCATCGTCGGCTTGGTCTTCGGAGCAGTCGTCGGTTTCGTCCTCGGCTGGTTAGTCGGCTGTGGCGCTGGATTTGAAGCTAAAGATTTGAAAACTTTTAGGCCGTTACTTTTTACTTTAATTTTATTGATAAGTGGTAGTAAGACCAAGTTAAATGTAAAAAAAAAAAAAAATTAAGCAAAGACAAAAGCGGAAAACAAACGGATGCTCGTCTCAATTTTCAATGTTGTAGAGCCGTGGCGATCAAATTTAGGTTTCCTTCATGAATACGATAACTTGCGCATTGTCTGTCGTCTGGCACAACTTAAATCAGTATTCTCTCGTCACTTCCCAAACCAAGATTGTCCGCTCCCATCATCATTGCCATCATACGCATAATTTGTTTCATTTTGCGAATCGAGAGAGAAGCAAATGAACTTCTACGATGATTGACTTCATTTGGCGATCTAGCTATTTGAGAACAATAGCGGGAACAGTTTCAAGATGCACTCGGTTACCTTTGAGTTGAAGGAAGGGCAAATTCTCCCCCGACCCCCATTAGAACTCTTTTGATGAAGGTAGTTGCGTGAGATGGGTGATGAGAGCCGCTGTTGCTTTCAAGAAGTAAAATCTGTTGCTCACAGGTTTGAGATGGTCACTGTCTGCTTTTACATTGATTTAAAGTGGCTAAGTAATATGTTCTACTACAGGCCCACGTCATGATCAAGAGACCGTGGGGCGAAGAACACTCACCGTTTAAAGTGTAAACAAAGTTAGTTGCCTGTTCTCCTACACAGTACTTGTCTTGTGGCCCACATTTTCGGAAGTCATTTGTTAAGCAACTTTGACTTGGTCCATCTTGCTTATAATTTTTTTCAGCGTTTACACCCGACCAACATTCACCTAAGTTAAGAATAAGTACACCAGATTTGTTTTTCGCACTGTTTATATTTCCCAGTCAAAGTCAGATATCCCTATCCTTCCGAGCTCAGACCTATTTTCTAACTATGTCTTGCATGATCAACGAAATCCATGTCATTTGCAGCTTGTAACCATTTTTACAAATTCAAATGCCGTTTCATCCTTTCTGAGCCGCAAATCGTTTAATACGTCACTGCGCTTAAAACTAAGAAAATTCCCATTCCATCCCTTCCCCCAAAAATTCAAACTGAAGAAAATCAAAACAAAACAAAACAAAAATACATATTGACATAATTCACAAAGAGGCTTAGGGAACAAACATATGGGGGGAGGCTTAGGGAACAAATATATGGGGGGAGGCTTAGGGAACAAACATATGGGGGGAGGCTTAGGCAACAAACATAGTGGGGAGGCTTATGAAAATTATCTGATGATAAGTACAAACTACTCATCCAAGTGGAGGTGGCTACTGGCGGAGTTTGCCGAACTGCGGAGCGGCGAGGTAATTATCCACCGCTAGCCATCGTTAGTCAGATGATACAGCCCAAAAAGGTGATTTTAACTCCTGCAGCGATTACAATATTTTCGCGTGCAAATCTCGCTTGAACTGCTCGGGATATCTGAAGTTTGGGTAGCCAATCAGAGTGCGCCTTTTTAACGTAATCCACTGTTTTAGTATATAGTAAAGGTAAACTTAGTTTGATTGCAACAGTGTTTATTTACCATAAAATTGCAGTCCAAAGACTTTAAATCCCGACTTCTTTGTCTTTTTAGCACATCTGCAGGCTAAGTCGGTCTTGTAGTCGTTCCAATCTGCCCAGTCAATATTAACACCGCTGAATACCCTCATGCTAGGGTCGCGGTCGGTCATAAGAATTGTCGGTAGGGGACGAGGATTCAGCGAGTCTCTAAAGCAACCAAGTCGGGTAAATTGCGGACAATCTGAAAGGAATGCATACAAGCTGTTGGGTTGATCGATGAAAATCGCAACATCTTCTTGTACCAAGACTGTTAAATAGGCGTTTTTCGCTCTTTTGATTGAGCTATGAATACCAAATAACATCGACCTATAACTCTCGCGATACAGTATCGGCAATGAGAAGCCTGAGGAAAAAAGCAACTATCTGCTAATAGTACCATTAGTTTAGGGTTGCGCAGTTATTTATTAAATACACTTACTTTTGAAACCAAAGCCCTTGCTCGTCATCAATAAAGCTATCCATATGGAATGAAGAAATCGTTCAAGGCTCATCATCGGATTTGCCTAAGAGAAGGAAATATGAACAGTACATCTTTTATTTGCCCTAAGAGCAATTGTGATAGACACACACCCACACGTAGCTTGCGTCTTCGAGTTTTATTTTGCTCCATACGCCAAAAAGTTTAAGGCTCTAGAAAAGAAAAAGGAACAAGGAGTTCCCATATTTTCAACTGACGCGATGATGGTATTTTAAGTCTTTTAGTGGTCGTAAAAATTGTTGAATAACAGTGGATTTTTAAAACATTCAAGTTAGATGCAGCAGCCAACAAAATTATCGCGTGTCGAAAGTGTCTATTCGATTAAGTCCATTGTACTCGGCACCTAATTCGATTTACATTTTTTGACTTTCAAAACTCCAAACGACAGATCTCAGAAAGGATGTTAGCCGTTTCATCCAAATATCGCACACATAATTAATATGACATTTCTCAATTATTGCAGAGGACTCGTTAACATCACCGTTAAAATAACGTTGCGGCAACAATATTAAGAACCATCGTCAGTCTCTACGTCAGTTCGGAGTCTGAATTTAAAATAGTTGGTGGATCAGGACCAAAGCTTAAGGAAGCTAGTTTTTCGAGTCAGTTTTTAAAGTTTTCGGGAGTTTAAATGGTTTTCCTATTCATGTCTTACCAATGCTCTTTTTCCTCTTTCAAAGATTTGCCAACGCTTCAAATGACCGACTTGATTGTTGTAACTTAACACCCAACCTGTTATGGGCTTTTAAAAATTTGACATCCTATTTGTTTTTGGTGGCACAGGAGGTGTTAGATACAAGAATTATTACCGGTCAATTATGGTATTTACCGTCTGGATATCTCTTATAAAAGACAATCAAGACCTGTCGAAGTTGAGATTGAAACCTCTAAGAAATTGCAATGTTTTTATCACTAAATATCTAAAATGGTTGTAAGGCCAATATTCAGGAGTTTTCTGACGATTTTATTTTCATTTGGTTTATATTTGGGTGGAAAAAACATGCTTTTTTTTTTTTTTAAGTTGCCAACTCCAAGAGTTATTTACATTACAGTACCGTCAGAGCATTAAGAACCATTAAAAAATCACAAGGAAACACCGCCAAAAACAATTGAAATGTTTTTTCATTGCTTTCTTTGGATATAGCTGAAAAATGTCCCTGAAAAAAATTGTAATTAAAAAGAGCTTAAAATCGCGCCCTCTAGAGACAAAAGCTCATTTCCATGAAGTTTCTCGTTTAATCGCTATCTGGGCACGAGCAGCAATTCCCAGAGAAAACTTGAAGACCCCACTCCTCCCCTCCCGAAATTGTCTTATATTGAATGAAACTGGAGAAGGCCGCTCGAAAATAAAGAAATGCAAAAGAGTTGTCCCTCTCTGCTTTACACTCCCCCCCATCCTCAAAGTTTTACTAGAAATCCTTCCACGACTTCCAGCACTTGAAAGTTAACTGCTCTATGTGACCCCCTCTTCACATCAATGAAGTACAGCATTGTGCCAATTGAAAGTAATGTAAAGGATCACATTCGAATATTACGGTTTGTTCTTCCGCCGGATATCGCCGAAATATCGGCGATGCATCGCAAATTTTATTGACACAGTAAAACAATAAATCGAACCCTTCCTATCTCGTTCCAACGATATACAGTTCAAGCGAAGAATCGCTTCGACGCTGCAAATCATCACGATAAATTGCTCCGGCGAAATATCACTAATGGCACCTCATCTTGGAGTAAAGGAAGCGTCATCGTGATCTATCTTTCTGGCAATATACTTTTACAGCGACGTATTGGTATTTTTAAAAAACCATTTGTTGAACTGACAATGAGATACTTTGAATTAATCTTCCACTTTTTCAAAAGGGATATAAACAAAGTTATCAGCCTTCTTGTTCGAGGGTGTTTTCGGTGGATTCGGTCCTCTGTTCTCTACTAACTGTTCTGATGAAACTTGAGAGGCCAGGCTTCCGTGAAGATTATTATGTTTTAGGGCTCTTACTATTGCTCTACGCCCGGAGGCAGAAAAAGTTACTCCATTGATTTATCAGCGTAACCCCGCTCTTTTCCTTTTATCGATCCCATAAAATTATAACACGCACCAAGATAATGTGATCAACTGTTTATTCTATCTCCAAATCACTTACTTCACGGTAAATTGTACTTGAACCATTTTTAATATAACGGATGTTTCGGGGTCTGAATATCGAGTTCATTGGGAACTTTTGACTAATAAAACATATTAAAACACCCGCGTAGGTACACGGTGTAAGCACAAAAAGTAAACAAAGTTTTGCCAACAAAAAATGTTGATTAGGATGATCTCAGATACTTTGCTTTTGATCTAAATACCTCAGGTATCCTTCATTGAATTAATTTTCATACAATGCAAATCAGAAGCTCGGAATGATCAAAAATTTATAACATTTCTTACATTTGATTAGGCAGCTACGCTAGCCGTGCTTTTGGTCCAATTTTTTCCTTTTTCGCTATTACATATTGATAAGAGTCAATCGCCTCAGGCCTGATAAGAATGACTTTGAGGCTCCAGATGATTATCTGAACTCCAGTTTGGGGGATATAATACATGCAGAACTTTGATGGTATGAAATTAGCAAAAAATCAAAAACTCTTGTCGCTGGAACTTGTTTTCTTCGAATCTTATAGCTCACTTTTTTTTTTTTTCCTTTCTCCTTTTAATTCTTCCCATGGTATTTACGAAAGATGTGGCCAATTATCGATTGCTTCTCTGGCCTTGGAGCTTGGTGACGTTTTCCATATTCATAACGCAGCAGACTGTTACCATCGCAACAATGAGGGGTGCATCCGAAAGGTGCACATGTGATGGGGCAGCCTTCTGGGCAAGAGGCTGGATGAATATCGCGTGGAGGAGGTTGTGGGGGAGCATAGTAGTAAGGATGGTACTGAAGGCAGCAGCTGGAGTAACAGTTCGGAGCGCAGGCAGAGAAACATGGAAGCGGGCAGACTGGTGGGGGAGGTGCCTTATAACATGCTAACAAATATCAAAGATATCGATTAGTACCCCTGTAAATTTTGAAATGGATTATACAAGAACTGCTCAACTGCTTACTACTGTGGAAAGTAAAGGGTGACTAGCGTCTAATCTATCCTTGAGAATCAAACATCAAGGTAATGGAAAGAAAGGAAATGACCACCAACTTAATAAGCTTTTCATTGTCAGAAGACTTTTTCTCGCCAGTACCGTAGGAGTGTAAAGGTAACATTATGGAGAATATGCACACTAATGTTGAGGTATTAAGGGCTAGAAAGCGCCGTCGACAATTTTAAAATGGTGTGAATTTGGAATCCTAAAAACCTCCTGTTGTTTATGTACTTGGATAGATTATTCTAGAACAGAGGTTAATAACCTTCTGGAGAAACGAAACCCAATGTAAAGAGAAAAGCCTCGCGCTGTTTGAGCCTCGATCACTAAATTTATCCAAACGAAAAGTCGATGCGGGTGTGTTAGAGCGGACAACTGAACACGCAGAACACTTTTGCTCTACAAACTCACCAACTTGACCCAGTGACGGTGCGAGAGTGAGCTTGCCCAAAGTCCCACATGCTACAGCGGTTGTTAAGTTATGAAGATGGACTCCTTTGTCTTTAAACTCGATCACAAAGTGCACTACAATGTTGCTGTCTCCCGGGGCTTGGCTGTGAAAGGTGGAAAACTAACACCTTAGACTGGAAAAATCGTCTTCTCTTGTATACCACTGACAAATATTATGTTTCTAATTGTGAATTCGTGTTTTAAAAGAATTCAAGTTTTTAAAATGCCATCCATGGACCGTTTTCTCAGCCTCTATGTTGTTTATTATGGGTAAGTTACCTGAATCTCAAAGTCGTAACGCCTAGAAAAGGATCATATCCATCGTATGATTGTAAAACCTGAGTAGGAAATGTAAGTTGTCAAGTATTAGTTTATATTTTGAATATTTACTAGTTAAGAAACTTGACATGCCTCCTTGCGCTCTCTAAACGGGACACTCTGGCCTTCGAAACTGCCTGTTGCATCGTTATACCTAAGGAATGAGTGTGGCAATCTGGCTTGGTGTTACCTGCCTGATGGGTCGTATCCCTGGGGTTATCCAAGTTACAATAGCATGAAGCGAACAGGGGTGTGTTTACTCCTCTAACTCAGAATGCTAGTTCAAAGGAGTAAAGGCCCAGCAATTCGAAGAGCTTTCCTATTAGTACTCGTTTTCACCTTCAATGGATAGTGTTAGGCATTGAGAGAGTAGACGTTATGTTAAACATCAGAACAATATGACCTGGGCTGGACGCGAACCCGTTCTTATCGAAACAAAAACGTCTAGCAGTGTGATAACCACTCGGCGTGGGATAATCCCGCGGACCTATCAAATGAGATTGTAGACATACTGTATAGGTTATGGATCTCTTTGTTGGTTACGTTTGCTCGACCTGAAACTGATACCTCCTAAAGCTAATGATCAGGGCGTAGATTTTTTTTCTGTTTTGTCGGTCAGTTTCATAACAGTAATGAAGTTATCTGTCAATTTTCACAAATCGTAGTTAAACAACGAGTTTTACAGCCCAAGTTTTACTTCGGCCAAAATTGAAAATGCAGTCTTCAAATAAAAGAAAACAAAAAGATGATTTAAAAAGAAGTAGCGGTAATTTGTTTTACTGACATTAAACCATTCCTCTAGCCGCAAAAAAATTGAGTTGTCATACCTTTTTCTTTTAACTTTAGATGGTATGTTGTGGACTGTATTGTTAAGTTTAGTCGCTGCCATAGAAAAACTGATAACAAACAAAAGTTTTTCAGAAATGGGCATAGTCAGCTGCATACTTACTCCAAGTTCAAAATCTCGTCTAAGCTCAATGAACTGGGGCGAATGTGCAAACCATAAATAATCATCAAAGGTAGTGTTCGACAGCAGCACTGTTAAGTTATACACTTTGCCTGAAAATAAAACACGCATCATAGAATTCAACTTACTTCTGAGACTATAATAAGGTACACCAAGAGAAAGGGATGGAATCTTGGATTCCATCATTGAGTTTCAAAGGATTTTAAGAATCTTTAACTTTTCTTTAAAAGGTTTCGTCTGCGGTATACATTGTCATTTATTATAATAAGAGAATATGGTAAGGTACACCAAGAGAATGTAATGGAATCTTGGATTCCATCATTGAGTTTCAAAGGATTTTAAGAAGTGTAAACTTTTCTCTAAAAGGTCTCTTCCGCGGTATACATTGTCAATTACTCAACTGAACAAACAGAAACAGCGAAGATGACATTGACCAATCAAAATAATGAACACTAGCTACTTGAGCAGTAGTGAAAATAACAAGTAAAAGAAATTCAGGCTTATCAGTACTCGAGTTGATCCTATGACCTCTACGATACCGGTGCAGTACTCTACCAACTGAGCAAACAAGCCTAATTGTAGATGGTAATTTTGTTGGTTCTTAGTAAACTGCTTAGTGATGAATAAACGGCTGTGAAATCAGATATTTTAACTGTAGATTGATACTGAAGGCGATAATCATCGCAGTAATAAACGTTACTTATGCAATAGTGACCTAGTTGGAGGAAAAAGTAAGCTCCTCGAGCTTAAAAAAAAACCGCCCTCGATTCTTCTGTTTCTGTTTTTGTTTGTACCGTTTCTGTTTCTGCATGCTAGGAGTTCTAATTACTTGTAGCGAAAGCG